ATCAATTGGGTGGAAATGGGATTTTCAAGAAGTTCAATTTGGTGAAATTTGGATTTTGGGGTAAAATTTGGGGGTTTTGGTTTGGGTTAGATTTAGGCTAAGCTTGAGTTTGGATCTAGACCAGTTGAAGGTTCAAATTGATCTAGGTGAGTGTTATGAAGAATTTAGGATTTAAAATTGGGGATATTTTTTGGTTATGGGGTTCAATTTGATGAAATTTAGGGGTATGGTCAAATTGGGGATTTTTGCCCAAAATTGAAATTTGGGTTTCGAGGTTAGTTTAGTTGGGCTCCAAACTTGTGTAGATTGGGATTGGATAATTTGATGTACAATTTGTGTTTGAAATTGGGTGAAATTGAAATGAATTTGGTGGAAATTGGAATAGATTGGGGAATTTGGAAAATTAGGAGTAAATTTGGGATTTTGGTCAAAATTGGTCAATTTAGCCAAATTTAGCAAATTTATCGCAATTGGGCAATGTGGGGAAGTTTCAAGTGATCTTTTGGATGAGAATGGGTGGAATTAGGTTTTTGGCAAATTTTGGTATGAGATGTGTTTTGGTAATTTTGGCAAAGTTGGGGGGGTATTTTAGGAGTATTAGGGAAAATGGGGTATTTTGGTCAATTTGATTGATTTGGAGTAGTTTGATATATTTTTTACGAGAATCTGAAGATTTAGGTCATTTTTGGAAATTTAGGGTTATAGGGGCAATTTGGTAATTTTGGAGAAAGTGGCTAGAAGATCATAATTTGGTGTTTAGGTGGAATTGAAGGCCATTGGATATGCCAATAATGATGATTATCTTATTTTAGCCATGGAACCAAGGAGAAACCCATTTTGGATCCTCCATGTGTTGTTCATAGCTAGCCAAAGGGCTAAGAGCATGTAGGCCACCCACATGAGTTTCCAAAAGAGCAAAAGGAAATAGGTTCAATGGGTGTAACTTTTGGGTTTTAGGGCAGGTGGAGAATTGTGATGTGCTTGAGTGTGTGAGAGACCAAACCCTAGCCACCCATGGTTGCCCTAAGTTCAACGGTCCTATGGGACTCTTCCTTGAATCCTCACAGGTTTGTCTCAACCTTCCAAGTGTTGGAGGTTCATGACCATCAATGTAGGGTTTCAAAGAGAGCTAGGAGGTGGTTTGAATTTCTATGTAGATAGGAGTTTTCTAGGATATACAAAAGGAAAGTTATATAACTAGATTCTAAGTACTAATAGGAAAACTATAGACCTCACCAAAAATGAGGTCAACAATGTTAACAAAAAAAAAAACTTGTATAATAGGCATATTTTGTTATGATTTTGCAACCAAGATAGAAGATCCATATAATTTTGAAAATGCCATAAGTTTAAGCAAAAAGTAAATTTATGAGTTTCTGGCCTTCTTCTGCCCTAGGCATAGGCTTAAGAAAAAAAATTTGTATTCCTTTTTGTCAACAATGGCATTTGTTCCATAAGAAAACTTCAAGAAACCGCTTGAAATGTGTCATAGGAGTATGAACCCTACATATCTAAATAACTTCACAAAACTTAGTTTGGGTTCTTCTTTCTGATTTAGAGTTTAAGCACTTTCACATTGATGAATTGATCCTTTTGAAATAGACTTAGCGGTTTAGTAAACTAGAACTTCGCTTGTTGGAAATATCTTTATACTATCCTCATGGGATCGATACGCGGACTCTTAGATCGCATATTATTTAACATGTATACTTGTATGATTATCAACTTGCTTCGCGATAAGTTTTCGGCCATCACCAGTTGAGCCTTAGAGCAATTAAGAGCCCACATATGTAAAGTATCTATAATACCCTGTACAACACCCACTAAAGCAAACACATAAATGTAACTTCACATATTGTACCCCTCCTCTATAAATAGGGGAATCATTTCATATGTAAGGACAAATCAACAATTCACATTACTTTTCTTTACTGTGCATTGATACACCGAAAATATATGCATTTTTAGACCCATATTTTATACTTATTTTTGGTGATATTGCACCTTAATGGAAGGTATTTTGATGTTTTCTTGCAGGTTGTTGATTTTTAGGACTTAAACCAAAAATGTAGCAAAAATGATGGAATTTGGAGCCAAAATGACATTTTTGAAGAAGTACTCAACGCCGACTGCGCCAAGGGCAGCGCCGACGGCGCAGAACAACAGAACATCTGAGATTTTTACTTAGCGTCGATGGCTCCAAAGGCGATTCAGCCCCCGTTTCTAGAACGTTCGATGTATTTGGACAATTTTTGAAGAGTTTTTGGAGGCACCTCTTGGAGAACCGACCTTGGGCTTTATATGGGGCCAAATTCATCATGAAAGTGACTCATTTTTCGCTTTAAGACATTCTACCACACTCCATTGTCGCCATTCTTCATAATCCATCTTCATTACACCACCATATTGGACTCCATTAGTGATTTTTCTTTTATAGTTTAGAGTTTGTGTGATGAGATTTAGTGTGAAACTTTTTGTAAGAGTGTTGGAGAAGGAGAAAAGTGAGAGATATCTTCTTCCTGTATTTCTAAGAAAAGGCTACAAGGGATTTGCTTTGAGAAAGAGTTTCATATAAATTTTGTTTGTTTATTAGTGTTGTATGAACTTTCTTTTATATATGAAATTTGTGTTTTGTTGTGTCTTTCTCATGAAGTCTGAGTAGTTCACTCTATCTTTCTCCCTACTCTGATATATGGTGAAATAAAGAGATAATATGATGTGCCAATATTAAAATATAAAATAAATTGTGATGATTTTTCAACTCCGAACTTAATTTACATTTCGATCTGATCAATTGAATTGTTAAAATATGTTGTGAAACATATGATCCGGAAAATTGAGTATGAGTTCTACAACAGAGTGAAGATCACATTTGATTTCATAGAGGAGAAATTCGTTCATGGAATTAAGTGCAAATAAATAGGAAAATATTCTTTGTTGGGTGTAGAATTAGAGAATCTTTAGGGTGACAGACTAAAATCCTCAATTCGGTCTTAGTGTTTAAAAACTAAAGCGAGAGTTAGCCTTCAAGTGAAGGGAAGTGGGAGCTCTAGTGTGGGAGTCGGTATCCTCTTAGCCTAGCCACGAATTTAAGGACTAGACATAGGATTAGCCAATGATTTTCTATGCACTGTATCAGGGTAAAGAATTATAATTGCTTCTATTTGGCACAATATATATTATAAACATTTATCTCATCTCATTTCACCAGAACCTCATTGTAGTGGAAAGGATTCTTTTTCACATAAGAAATCTTTATTACATAAACATAGTTAGTAGATTAATATTTGTTTTTTAAACTTTGCATTTCTGTTTTGCTAATAGTTAAGTACTTTAGTTTTGATAACATCTCAACATTTGAAATTAGTGACAGTGATTTCGTTTGATTTTCAGTAAATTTCCTAGTAAAACTTATGATTGCCAATTTACACCGTCCCTGTGGGATCAATATTTGGGGCTTAAATAAAAGTCTTTTATTACTTGATAATGATATGTATACTTGCGTATAATCTCATTATTAATTGCATTATTAATTGCATATAATTATATATATTTTACACAACTTACTTTTCATATAAGGATCAAGTTTTTAACGTTGTAGTGGTGTCAACTTCATAAATTCTTACATACAAAAAAATCAGGATCATGCACTTTCTTCTTTGTTTGTCTCTATCTTTATAAATCACTCTCTTGTCTTACGCTCTTTTTTTTTGGTGTAATTTATGGACAGATCAGCGTTCAACAATATACGATATATATGAGAAGTTTTCCTTATTATTTTTTAGCTTTATAAGTTAGATCAGATGCAGAAATTTCAAGATTTTTCTTCACCTCGACGTGAAAACAATTCTTGTTGTACGTATTTTAGACCTTATGCCCTCTATTTTGAATTGTTATAAATGTTAGGCAACACTTTCTCAAGTTTTGAACATTATATGAGATATCATTTTGACTTTGACAAATTAAAATAATTAAGTTATTCATGGTCAGTCATACAAAGTTCCCCCATGATAATGGGTGGCAATCATAATGATGGTGAGCTTTATCATGTAAGAATGATTGTTTCTCACTCGATGAAAGCATAAAATGAGGGCAATGCATACATAAAATTATATATCACAGAGAGCATATACTCAACAAATAACCTACAAGACATGCTTGCAAAATTCTATTCTGAAATGAAGAAAGAAGTGAGAGTAGCATAAATGACACCACATCACATCTTTTGCCAATGAAGAAATTAGCAAAATGAGAAGTTGGGTGGAAGTCAAGATATAGATCATTTGTAACTAAACTTGACTGCTTGTTAAAATATTAATCGATGCTTCCCTAACGCCCCTAAATTGATAAAATATTAAGCTAAAAAATCAGCCAATTAATTTCTAATGGATAATTCATTATTTTTTCACCAGTTTTTCGGATCTCAGATGTCGACTAAGAGTCCGTTTGGGGCAGCTTGTGCGTTTTAGGATAAGCTGCTTATCCTAAAACGCGGATAAAACTGGCAAAACGCGCGAACCAAACGGTACAACGGTGTCTTAAAAACGTCGCCCGCACTTATAAGCTGCCCCAAACGGACCCTAAATGAACAAAAAATTTTCTACAGAAATTCCTCTGGTATTTTAACTGGTCTTATTTACGGCGGCTATTATAATCATCAAAATGCATTTCCAACCAAGGATATTCCGGCAATCGTTAATATGCAAATAAAGTGAATTACCAACGGAATAATTTTATTTTTTTGGGAGTTTACTATTCCTAAAATAATACTTTTTTTTTCTATAGGGAAAAGGTAATAATGCAGTCTACTTTGGACAATTCTCTTACTGAGGGGCATTGACACACATACCTCCCAATTTTTACTTATTTACATACTTAACACCTAAGGTTTACTCTTAACATTTATACGGCCACCCAAATATTTCATATCACATCAAAAACTACAGCTATTTTAACTCTTAAAAGGCGAAATACAACTTCTCATACATAGGTAAGGCGGCATGTATGCAACATTGAAATTTATGTGTTATATATGTAAATACATAGGAATTGAGGGGTACTATGTAAACCTTCCTAAAATTATATATGAAAAACTATTTTATCCTCGACGTAAAATAAGATTAGATTTAAATCCATCAAGCAAGTACAAGAAAATTCCCCATCCATTTCATGAACAAGAAGCCATTAATGACTCCGTTCTCTCTTTATCTGAACATTAAAAAACCTTCAAAGTTGATGCTCTTCATTCCAAGACGTTGCAGTCTTGCCAATTTTCTGCAGAACCCTAACCACCTCCTCAGCTGTAACATTACCCGTAACTGTCATTTTGTTGAGTTCTGCATCAACCCTGTAAGTCTCAATATCTGCATAAAAACAATATTAATATGAGCCAGTTTCAAATAAAAGGGGCATTTACATGCATACCACCCCATTTCTAACTCCTCAACTTTGCTTTTTCACATTTCTACCACCTGAATCATTTACATCACATCAAAAATATCATTCATATAACTTCTAAGAAGTGAAATACATCTTTTCATGCATAAATAGGGTGGCAAATATGTAAAAAACTAAACTTGAGATGTAGGAATTGAGTTGTATGTATATATGTAAATATTCCTACATCAAAACGCTAAAAGCAGCTTGAAGTTCAATAAATTTAGCATGGAATTTGGTTGATATAAACATACCTTCAATTTTCCTGATGGCTTTCTTGATGGCCTTGATGCATCTTTCGCAGTGCATGCCAACTTTCAGCTCCACCAACTACAGAAAATCACATGCAGAGGGTAAATAAGAAGAATTATACTGATGAAAGAGGAGAAAGGTTTGCTTACAGCCATTAGATTTCAGTGGAATTGGCTTAGTGATGATCGGAAAATGTTTCAGATATCTAGCGTTGGGAAGCATTTAAAAAGAGTAATGTGGATTCGTTTCTTTGTGGAGAGGTAAATGTACTTTAATTTCTTTAAAGAATGAAAGATGCCTTTTTTTTTTCTTTGGTATAAAGAAAGAAAAGTCAGAGTTCACATTTCAACACAGTTTAAAGGCTAGCTTTTTGTTTGAGTGAATCAAAAGTGGCATTTTATTGCCGTGATAATATTTGGAAGCTTGCTAAAAGGTAAGCTGGACACTTGAAATTTTTTAGGGAAATTTCCGTGCATTTCATACAATTCTAATGTATTACATATCCAATGCCCAAAGTTTGATATTTTACACTTATAATATTTTGGTGTCATAAATATATGTATGAAAATATGTATTTCAATTCTAAAAGTTAATAATTGCAGTATTTTTGATATGATGTTAAAGATTTGAATGTTATATACAAAAATACATGAGAATTGTGTGATCTGTGTAAATGCCTCCATTTTTTAATGATGCATTGGTATTTAAGAAACCATAAAAAAAAGGAGGGTTTTTAAGACAATTCAAGTATTTCATCAAAATTTTGGCATCATTTTTGTTTAGCATACCGAATCTCTTTTCTAATAGCCCATTTCCTCGATAGCACTTCTGAATCTGGAGATGCAACTGGGTTGGCTTACTTGTAAGATGGCCCCAGCTCAACTCAATAAACGCCTCACGAGCAAGTCCAATGAGCTAACAAGCTAAATCTGAGTGTTCTGACTCAACTGATCAGCTTATGAGTTGATAAGTATAAATATTTCACTCTCAACAACACTCCATTAAACCAAGAGCAGCCAATCTCCCATTTTTGTTTATCACTTAAATTCCAAGTGAAAAAACTAACCTTCCTAGGTCTTACAATCGTTATCCATGTAGCTATTAGGAGGGCAACAAGCTTAAGCTATGAAATTGCGATTCTGGAGGGCTGAAGAAGTTGCGGCGCACTGTTCCTTGCGATACAATCGCGACCAGATCTAGCTGGGAAGGAAACAGCTAAAAAGCGTGCATAGGGACCCCAAACTCCTATTTTTTCTTCCTCTCGCGCCATCTACACGATCCAGTCGTGATCAGAGCTAGCTGGAAGGTAGCCACGAGGAATTGTAGCAAACAGAGGCCTGAAGCTTTTAGGATCGCGGCAAATAGAGACCCCAAGCTCTCATATTCCAGGATCGCGCAGGTGCTACCTGGGAAGTAATGATGAGATTGATGTAGTCGAAAAATACTTATTTGACATATAGTTGTGATAAGAGCTAGCAGAGGAGAGACGATGTGATTTCAGGGTATAGAAATTTTTGCCTTTGAGATCGAAAATTTTTCTAAAAGAGATAGCAGTAAGAAAAATAGATGATCTGGAAAAGAAATTGAAGGAAAAGATGAGTTAAATCAAATTTAGGATGGAAGAAAGGTTCGCCACCATGGAAGAGAGGTTCTCTTCTATAGAGAACCAACTGGAGGATCGACTCGAGAGCATGAGAAAACTCGAGAGATGCTAAAGAGGAACATTAAGATGCAATCCAGGAACTCGCCGACAACTCAGCGTGCAAAGCCTGATAAAAGGTTGACTTGAGAATCGTGGCAAGATCAAAAGGAAAAGATATCGAACATAAGGAACAGAAGGAGGAAGACATCCACCATCACGAACCTCCTCTCAGTACTTTGATTAGAGGTGGATTAGAATTTTTTTATGGAAATGGCTTGGTCGAAACATAGAGAAGAGATTATGCCAAAGGAATGGAAGAGCAAGAAGAAGAAGGGAGAAAAGCAGGGAGGGGATATGACAACGATCGAAGGAAGAATTTTTATCCTCGATACATGGGGGAAAGAATGGAGAAAGAGGAAATTAGGGTGGAGATGTTAGAGTTTAAAAGTTAAAATACCGATCTTCGAAGAGGAAGATGCACATAAATGGGTGTATTGGCTAGAGCGATACTTTGCGGAGAATGGGTTAGACATGGTGGAGAAACTCATGCGACAAGATTGTGTTTGAAAGGAAAAGCCTTAGTCTGGTTTCAGTGGAGGGAGACTGGATACCTGATTCGTTCGTGAGATGAATTTAAAGATTATTTGTTGGAACATTTTCGAGTCATTCGAGAAGGAAACTTACAAGAGCAATATTATGCCTTGACTAGGGAGGGAACAGTCATGGAATATAGAAATGATTTGAACTATTGTCGGGACAACTATGGTGATTTCTGAAGTAGAACTGGAAGGGAATTTCATGAAGAGCTTAAAGCTCGACATACGGGCAACAATCCAACCGCTAAGATCGTGGGGATTGGAGGAGATGATAAAGTTCTCCCAAATGGTGGAGGACAAGAACCAAACGAAGAAAGCCAGCAGAAGCAGCATAGATGGAGCATCGTACAGAACTGTTGCAACCACGATGATGCCAAAATTTCAAATAGTGGAAGTGAATAAGAAGGCTGCATGGGACAAGAATAATGAACCACGACCGGAAGCAACACTCAAGCGTTTTACAGAGACAAATTCGAGAGATGCGAGCCAAGGGGTTATATTTTCAGAGTGATGAGAAGTTTAACCCATGACATCATTGCATGGATCAAAGATTACAACTTCTCATAGGATGGGATGAGGAGGCAGACAATGAAGAAATAGAGACAGTTGTGGGTGAGGAATAGTCTCATTTTTCCATCTTGAGGACAAGGTGTCTTTTGGAGGGGGAGAATATTATTACACCAGCATAGGGCAAATTTGTCTTTTGCACGACTATGTCCAAATTAGTTTTTAATTATTATTGTTGTTGGATATAAATAGGTTTGTTATGTATAGAGTTAGGGTTATGCATGAGATTGAGTTTTGAGTCTTAGACTTAGAATTTGGGAGATATTTCCTACCTTTTGAATTGTAGGAATTGGGATAGATTGTCTGCCCTCAAATTGCAAGTACTTACCTTTTGTATTTGACTGAGTTGTTTGGATTATTGAAATAAAAATTTGTGTTTGCCCTAATTCTTGTGAAAAAACATGTCAATTCTGCCTCAGATCGTATCAGTAGCTTCATCCTAAGCACCAAGTTCCTTCATCTCAAATTTTTGCTCTAAGTAGATTGTACTGTAGCAAGCATTTTGCTACAATCAACATACAAGAGTAAACATACAAAAGATTCACTGATAACTTCTTACAGTAAGCTAAATTATCATCTAATTTTTTCTGAAATCCCTGAATAATTTTTTTTGTAAACATAATTTCAAAGAAATTTAATAAGAAAATTAGTTCAAAACATACAAAAACTTATTCAATAAACACGCATGGATCTTTTTTTCCATAACTTCAAACCTCAGTTGTTGTTGCACGTGAATCTAATAATCCAAATCACCATGAAAAAAATAGATATGACATCCCTTTGTTCTAACTCAAGTTCTACATTACAACTTGTTATGGTATGGCTCATATACCATATAGAGACAGATGTTGGATCGAAGCGGATCGAAGCGGAGCGGAATAATCTGTCCAACTTGAGAAGTTACGTGGGTTGGGGTGCGGGGGCAAAGCCCCGCGGTATGGTATAAGGGTAATATTGTAATTACACTGTAATTACATATTTTGCCTAGGGTTTACTCCTGGGGTTATAAATAGGTCTGTTAGTAACCCCAGGAGGTATCCCTGATTTCTGTAAACCCTTTTCTGAATATTGAAAGGAACTCGTTGTTCTGCTCCCGAGGACGTAGGCATCTTTGTCGAACCTCGTTAAATCTCTGTGTTCTTCTGGATTTGTGTCGATTACTGTTTTCTTCGCCCTAATTTTCTCAACAAGTGGTATCAGAGACAGGTTCGAGGGCAAGAAAGAAAAATTTTGGCAGTGCGGTGAAAAGGAAGATTTAGAAGAGAAAATTTCGGCGCAGTTCGAAGTTCGAAGGAGGCGTGCTGTTCCAAGGAGGTTCTGCGGTTTCGCACGACGCGGGACGAAGGCGTTCTCGGGTGCGGGAGGTCGCGGGACAGAGAAGATTCACACGACAGGATCGTTCGGCGAACTTCGGGTGTTATCGCGAACAGGAGGCACGAGCGGTGAAAAGGAAGATTTAGAAGAGAAAATTTCGGCGCAGTTCAAAGTTCGGAGGAGGCGTGCTGTTCCAAGGAGGTTCTGCGATTTCGCACGACGCGGGACGAAGGCGTTCTCGGGTGCGGGAGGTCGCGGGACAGAGAAGATTCACACGACAGGATCGTTCGGCGAACTTCGGGTGTTATCGCGAACAGGAGGCACGAGCGGCGGTAATTTTTTCGTGACGGAGAAGATTTCGCAGGCCAAAGAACAGGCGAAGCGAAGGATTCCTCGTGCACTACGGGTGAATTCGCGACCAGAAAAAGTAAGGAGCGAAGGTCTCAGCGAGAAGGGCTGAAACAGAATGAAGCGGAGGTGTGACTTTCCATTCCTGGGCCGAGGAATAAAAAAATCTTTGTTTTGTTTGGAAAGGAATCAATATTCCCTTGCAGGGAGGCGCTTAAAGGAAAGGAATAATTTTCAAGATGACATTTTTTGGTGTGAAATTCGAGGTGATGAAGTTCGACGGAACTGGTAACTTCGGATTGTGGCAAACCAGGGTGAAAGATCTGTTGGCTCAACAGGGAATCTTGAAAGCTTTGCGGGCGACGAAACCTGATGTCATGGAGGATGAAGATTGGGAAGAATTGCAACAGCGAGCGGCAGCGACGATACGTCTATGTCTGACAGAAGAGGTTATGTATCACGTGATGAATCTGAAATCTCCAGGAGAAGTTTGGAAGAAATCTTAAGGCAAAATTTCTGACGAACAAGTTGTATCTGAAACAAAAGTTGTATGGGTTGAACATGCAAGAAGGGTTTGATATGGCGCATCAAGTTAATGGCTTCAATCAAATAATCACAGAACTGTCACGGCTTGATGTGAGGATTGAGGATGAAGATCGAGCGATGATTTTATTGGGTTCATTGCCTGCCCTCTTCTTATGAATACCTGGTGACTACTCTAATATATGGGAAAGAGACTATCAAAGTGGATGAGATTACTGCAGTGTTTTTGGCTCACAACC